TAGATGACCTTGAAAGGTCCCTTCCAACCCAAACTGTTCCATGGTTCTATGAACTCTGGATTTCTTCCTCCCAGAAACAGGCCAAGACCGAGGAACCGGACAGTGCCAACGTCTCCTTCTGCAGCATCCCAGCGGCACGGCCCCCGAACGCCACCCCCGGCAAAGGCCGGCTGCGCTCAGCCACCTCCACCCGCTCCCTCGCCAGCTTCCCCTCCCAGGACTCCCTTGTCAAGCTGGAAACCTCCTCCCCGCAGGAGACCCCCGGCAATTCGGCGCTGCTGGGCCTCCCCGGCTACCGGCCGGTCACTCGCAGCTCCCTGAGACGCTTGCAGGGGGGGAGCAGCTCCAGCCTCGGTACGTGGGGGCAGGTTGGGTGGCTGGGCTGCTGGATGGGAGACTCTGTCCTGTCTTGGGGAGGCGGGAGGGGGCATTTCTTGCCTAGGACCCCCACTCAGCCCTCCCTGCTTTGGGTTTAGGCCGGAGCAGCATCTACCTGGGCACATGCCAGGATGAGCCGGAGCAGCTGGACGACTGGAACCGCATTGCGGAGCTACAGCAGCGTAACCGAGCCTGCCCGCCTCACCTGAAGACCTGCTACCCCCTGGAGAGCAGGGTAAGGGGAGCGGGGACGAAGGGCCTGCCCCTTCCCAGCCTCTGCTGCCCGCAGGAGGTGGTGAGGGGGATGGAGATGGGCTGGCGGGCAGCCCTGGGGGCACACAGGGCTGGGGGGAATGTTGATGGTCACCCCTTGGCAACACCTCTGCATCACCTCCCCAGCCCTCAGACTCCCTGGGGACCATCACGGACGAGGAGATGAAGACAGGTGACCCGAAGGAGACGCTGCGGCGTGCCAGCATGCAGCCCTCGCAGATCGCCGCCGGCACGGCCGCCCGGCGCAACACCCTGGGCACAGTCTGGGCCGGCGGCATCACCACCCGGCAGCAAAGGAAGCGCCTCTCGGATGAGTCCCACCAGGGCCCCGACACCCCTGAGGTGAGCTGAGCCTGCCACAAGTACCCTGGCTGGTCCCCAGCTTCCCCAGGAGCCAGGCTGGGGACAAAGGGGAGTGGTGGACAGCTGCAGATGTTCTCCAGATGTGGAGGGGGCTGCTGGGCCCCTGGGAATGGCTCCTCCTGGGGTAGAGCTGGCAGGAGGCAGCTCAAGCAGCAAAGGTCTGAGCCTTCTGCCTTCCCTGCGCCACTCCCCAGGCTCTGCTGTCCTCGATCCCTGTCCCTATCCCCTCCCCGCAGCCCCTCGGTTCCCCTCCTTGCCACCAGCTCCCTGGGAAGGGTGGCCCTAGGGCTCTCGTTCCCCAGGTGACAGTCCCGGCTTGTCCCCTCTTTTCCAGTCCAAGAAGCCGACCAGCTGCTTCCCGCGTCCGCAGACCCCCCGGGACCGCAGTGAGCGGCGCAGCTCCCAGGTCAGCCGGAGGAGCGAGCAGCAAGCCCCCAGCAAGCAGGTGAGGGGCTCGTGCTGGGCAGCAGGGCTTGGAGCAGCGAGCTCCAGAGAGGAAAAAGTGGCAGGGACCAGGGACCCCCCCCATCCTGCCCTGAGCTCACGGTCCCGTGTCCTCCTCCGCAGGCTGAGAGACGCCAGTCGATGGCGTTCAGCATCCTCAATACCCCGAAGAAGCTGGGGAACAGCCTGCTACGCCGGGCAGCCGGCCGGAAAACCACCACCAAGAACTCGCCCCGCGGCAGTGCCCGCCGCTCGCCCCGCATCGCCACCGCCAAGTCCCCCAAGGGCAAGGTAGGTACTGGCAGCCCCCTGTGGTCCCAGAGCAGGCACAGCCACCCCTAGGGCTCTGGTGGTGGGTTGGTCACAGTCGCTAACGTCCCCTTTTTGCTCTGTCCCTTCCAGGCCAGTCGCCGATCGCTCAAGGACACGAAATTCTGAGGTTCCCCCGTCCCCTGCTCTGCCCCCTCACCTCTCCCTAGCCCCCCCCCCAGTGCTGCAGGCACGTCCCCAGGGCCCAGCAGCACTGGGGGGGAATAGATGGGGCCACCTTCCCCTTGTGACACTGCCCTGCACGTCCCACCGATGCCCCTGGGGCTCCCCCGAGTGTGGCAGGGCCCCAGCACCCTTCCTGCTGTACCCAGCATCGCCCTGCTCCTGCACCCGTCTAGGACCTAGCCCAGGGCAGGGGGGATGTGCAGGGGACGAGGCCAGGAGGGGGTTGTTCCCCTGGGGGCTGCCTGTGGGCTGGAAACACCCGTGGGTGCAGGCAGTGGAGTGCAGAGTGTGACCCCGATATTTGTGCACAGCACCAGCCCTTGCTGTATGGTTGTGCCAGGCTGGGGCTGAGCCCTCCTCAGGGGGGATCCTGCAGCCCCAGGGACCGGGACAGAGGCGGGATGGAGCATCCCCAGGGCCACCACACTCCTCCCTGTGTTTGGGAGCCCCTGCGGATGGGGGGGCCAAGCCCCAGCAGGGCAGGGACTGACACCCACCCTACCTGCAGTCGCAGCCCCAGGCAGGATCCCAGCTCCCCCCTGCCTGTTCCTGCCCTCAGCAGGGGTGGGGTGAGGTGGCATTTTTAAAGTGTTTCTACTTGTAAATAAATTGTATTTTTCTCCTGCTCTGGATGTTCCTGGTTTGTTCCTCCCAGGAGCTGTTTGTGTGCTAACGGGCCACATACGCTGGCTTTGCTGGAGTGGGGGAGATGCTGCTGCTGTGGCATCGCCTACGCCAGCTGCGGGGCCAGCTTGGCAGCGGGGGTCCTGAGGGGAGGAAAAGCGTGACCACCTCCTCCTCACTGTCCCCACTGCTGCACAGGGTGCCCCAAGGCAGGACCCTCATCTGGGGAGCTCACTGCGAGACCAGGAAGCCGCAAGGGAGTTTTTCTCTTGCTTTCCTCTTTCTCTCCTTTAATTTATCCTTCTCCAGCAGCAACTCCCATCATTACAGCATTTCCCCACCCATGCCCCCCACCCCAAGCCCCGGCATCGTCCCTATGCTCCCCCAAGCCTGGCAGTGGGGATAGAAGCGGCCTCTCCATCCCCACACCAGCCTTGCCACAAATTTACCAGTACCACTACACCTCTGCCAGTGTGGCTGGCGCTCCTGCGCAGGCTCATTCCTTGCCCAAATCCTGCCCATACGCCTTGCTGTGGTACAGCCAGGTCCAGCAGCTCACTTGACGGGGCAGGCAGGGCTCTGGTCTGGCATCTCCAACAGCCGCAGCAATGCAGCTTCAGCCTGAGTGCCGCGATGGGGGGTTTGTCGTTTCCCCCCTCCGCTGTCCTCACAGCCCTACCTCACGCGGTAGGATGAGGATAGGGTGCCCGGTGTCCCTGCCTGCTCCCCGCAAGTGCTGGCGTGCCACTCTACCTCTGCCACGCTGAAGGGCAGCTCGCAGATGGGGCAGGACACCCAGGTGTCGGGGGACATCTCTGCCAGCGGGGAGGAAGGCCAGGCTGCATCAGGGTCTTCATCCCCGCAGCGGGAGGCGTGTAGGGGGAGTAGATCCAGGCTGAAGCGGCCTGCGGAAAGGGGAGATGACACGGTTGTCCCAGGCTCTCTGGTGTTGGTGTGAGCATGGGGTTTCGGCTCAACGCCCTCCCTGAAGATTCCCGCGGCAGCCTAGCACCCCGTGACAGGCTGTGATGTCCCTCCTCTGCCTGTCACAGGGCTGGTGCCATGGCATCCTGCACGAGCGGGAGTGAAGTGTCTCAGCCCCAGAGCCGCTGCTGCTTCTCCCCGAAAAGCTGAGGTTCAACACACAAGCAGGGATGGTGGAGCCAGCGGCAGCCACTGCTGTCCCCATCTGCCGCTGTCCCCTCGTCCCTCACAGCCCTTCAAACCCAACTGCCTCCGGTTTGAGCCCACCCCAGTCCTGTGGCAGGTCCACAGGCGCGGGCAGCGAGTGCTGCTGAGCTAAGGGGACTCAGCCGACGGGTGGGTGGATGGACAGACAGACGCACTGTGCTCTGCCCCAGAAGTGTGTCCTCCCCGCTCAGGTTGGCTGTGCAGACTCTGTGTTTACAGAGAGGCCGCTTCAGGCCAGAGGAGACCCCTGCCAATTACCCACCTGAGCAAATGGGGCAGATGCCCCTCTCCCCCTGATTGCTGTCCCCTCCACTGTCACCCCTCCTGGCCCGTCTCTCTCGGTGGCTGTGGGCTCTGGCTCTTCCTCCTGACCTGGACTGCCTCAAGGCAGCTGGCAGAGACCTGCAGAGGCGTTGCATGAGGAGTTATAAGCTTAGGGCTTGCTCCACTGTGTCCTGCACACCCAAAGTTGCCAAAGACCAGCCCCAGACAGGGACCAGATCCCGGCAACACACCAAAAGGGAGAGGGAAGCTGTGCCCGGGCTGCCCCATGGGCGCAGGCAAGGAGCTAGCTGGGACTCAGAGCAGAGGAATCATTGGGGTGAGGGCAGGAGAAACATGGTGACCCGAGGGATTACCTGCCCACAGGGCTGGGAGCTCTTTGCCTGCTGTCCGGCTGCCTGCGAGCTCTTGTGGGGGCTGCAGGGACGTCCTGCGCAGACCCTGGGGAACAACGGACAAGCAGTAACCCTGCCCTCCACCCAGCAGTGCCAGCTCTCCTGGTGGAAGGGGCTGGGCGAGAATTGAACCAGCGAGGTTCACAGGTGGGAAAACATCTGCATGACACGAAATAATGATCGCATCCTCCAGCTGCCCCACTACAGACAGTAAGTGGATCACAGGAGGTTTCTGGGTGAGCCGTGGGATTTACCATGATGCTGCTTTCGCACCAGCAAGGAGGGTGACTTGCCCCGAGGAAGGCCACCCTGGCCAGGACATGGCCTGCTGCCAGCGGGGCAGGGGAAACAGGATCCCTCCGGGCATGGGGAGCACCCCGGCAGCTGTGGATTCACCCCAGCCTGCCCCAGGTAGGATCCCTCCGGCCACAGGCAGAGCCCTCAGCAGGACAAGATCCCTTTAGGGGGCACGAACTAACCACATAAAGGCTCTCTGCACCGCAACATGCCCTACGCCGGCTGCAGGCAGCTCTGGCTCACCTGGCACCAGAGGGCCTCCCAGGTCCTCAGTCAGCAGCTCCGGGTCACCCCCCGGGACGCCCGTGCTGGCTCTGGGCCTCAATGCCCGGCTCCGCACCGCTGACAGCACCATCTGGGCTGGGCGGCTGAGGCGGGCTGGGCTCCAGGCGGTTGGTTCCAGCTGCTGCAGGCGGCTCTTCAGCTGCTCCTCCTCCCTCGAGCTCCTGGAGGCAGAGAGACCGTCAGCCCCACAGGGAGGTGCGAGCAGGCAGGCTGGTGGGAGCCGGGGCTCCAGGCGTCCAGGGGCTTGGAGGCAACACCTCGAGGTGGCTCCAGGCCTGGCTGCGCAGGGAGAGGACGGAGATGGACCAGATCAGGCTACTTACGAGCATGGTTCTGGAAAGAAAGTCCGGCAAAAGGCAGGGCTGGAGCGCCAGGGGCTGTCCACAGGCTTGGCATCCTCCTGCGGGATGAGGGAATGCCTTGGGGAATGGAGGCCAGCACTCCATGCCCCTCACCCCGGCCACAGCCCCCGGTTCAGCCAGGCAAGCACCCTCACGCACTCTCCACAGGGTACAGAGTGGCAGCAGCAGAGGAGAAGTCCCATCACTGCTACCTCCTGGCGGATTCCCACGGTGAGGAGCACACGGAGGGGTAAGAGGTGCCTACCAGGCCTTGCTGCAAGGGTGGGGGCGGCTGGGGGTCCTCAGGGTCCAGCGGCGTGCGCACGCGGATGAAGGACAGCCCGAATTGGCTGTGCTTGCTGAAGGGCTGGCTGCAGGTGAGCCGCAGGCGGTCCCACTTCTGCCCCACCGCCAGTGCCAGGAAGTCTGCTGCAGGGGGGCAGCAGTTGGGGTTGAGGGGGCACACCGGGGACTGCCGTCCCGGCACCATGCCCACCTCTGCTCGTCAACCTGTGCCACTGTTGTCCCTCCAGGACCAGGACACGGTGACAACTGGGGGATTACGGGCATGGGAGACGTCAGGGCAGGGGAGCAGTACTGGTACAACCCTCTACAGCAAACAGGATGGCTGTGACCCCTGGTCTCCAGCACTACTTGTCATTCCCTGGTCTCCCCGTCCCCTTCACCCACCCCCCCCCCAGCCTCTCTGCTCTGCCTTGGGCCTCTTTCCCTTCGTATCAGGTGATCTTTACCTTCTTTAAACATTCGGACCCCGCAGCGGTTGTGATCCAGCTTCGAGTCAGCCGGCGTCATCAGCGCGACGCTGGGCACCAAGGTGAGGTAGGACTGTTCAAGCGGCCATGAGGAACGTCCCACCTCGATCTGGAGAAAGGCGCAGCCACAGTTGCCTGTGTTAAGGCACAAGGGATGTGAGGTTCAGAGCTGCCGACCCCGTCCAGGGCACAGCCCTGCCTGAGCTGGTGAGGGGGGCACATACCAACGTCCACGTAGCCGATGGGACTGGCTCTCTCCAGCTGCAGCTCCACTTTCAGCTGCCTGCTGCGGTCCTGGGGGCAGCCGAGCCAGGGACGAAGGCTGTCCTCATGCAGCAAGTTCTCCACCGGGTACTTGGGATCCTGCACACGACAGCAAAGATGCCGTGCCACATGCCAGCTCCCTCCCCAACTGCCTTCCCCTTCACCTCCCATCTTGCTCCAGGCACAGGGGAGAAGCAGGGGAGACTCTGGCAACCTAGAAACAGCACTCTGCTTTTTGAGAGGGGAAGAATCACGTGTAGTTCATGCCCTTCAGCACTAATTAGTGCCCTTCAGGCAGTGCCTAACAAGGACAGCTGTGGGGCTGCACCCACCCACACCCCGTACTGAGCCTCCCCCTCCTTCAGCAGCTCAGAGGGAAACCTGACCTTTACAAACCTCCCACCCAGCCCCCCTTGAGGAAACACACTGGAGACCTGCGAGGAGAAGGACACGATGTAGCTGATTTTAACTGGAGCCATCTTGGATCCCCTGTAGACAACCCTCTGCAGGGACCGAGCTTCCTTTTGGAATCCTCCAGCACCTGGTGGGGAGAGAGGGCAGGACTGCGATGGGATCCAGCATCTCCCGGCAGGGAAGAGCCGGCGCTCCAGCTCCGGCCAAGCCTCTGCCCCTTCCCACCTGCCGTGGCACAGCTCACCCCACTTTCAAACGGTGCAAAGTGGGGGGCACTGGGGCAGCCACTCTGTTAGTCCCCATTGAGTCCAACCTCACCCCCCCAGCCCTGTAGCCTCATCCCACAACCCCTCAGCAGTCCCACTCAGTCACCCCAGAGCCCCCCA